ACAGTACAAGGGACATGAAATCGTTCTCTAAAGGTAGTAGAAGTACAAAATCAAGGTAGTAGTAAGGATAACAAGAGAAGGCACATAGCAACTGAATTATTCAGCCTTGCTACCTCCAGTTCAGTCCAGTTCAGTCCAGTCCAGTCCAGCTGTCACCTGCCTCTCTGCTTCTGACTTGCATACAGAACAAAAATGATGCAGAAATGGCAAGTATGACGTGAAACCAGAGAACTTTCTCAGACCTGCCTCTTCCCTAACAAGGATCCTGGTATAGGTCTGCCATGTTTCCATGCAGGAGACCACTGTCAGGAACACGGATAGAGGTAGAGTCTCCTGTATGTTTTTCTTGAGGCGCTGCACTTAAAAATTTCCCTAGACTTGTATCCCACATAAATTAGGATGTTGTAATTAAGTCCCCAAACTCACCAACCCCCAAGCTGTACACTCATTCTGTATAAGTCTATCAATCCTACTGCAGTGTCCTGGGAGCACAAACGAATTATCCAGCAGTTGGCTATGACCAAAGGGGACCTGTGCACTTCCTCTCAAGTAGGAGAGATTTGCTTTCAATGAACCTGCAGTAAGGCAGAGGAGACTCTTCAAGACAGTATCTAGACTACAGTGTTTTTCTGCACTGAAATATAATGACTGCTTTTGCTCAAAACTAAATGATGACAATAATCATTCTAGGAGGTAGTTTTTAAAATGTGCATTTCCTCTCTTAAACTTCAACTTCCCCAGAAGCCAGGGCTGTTCATTTTCTCAACTTAATTAAGAGAGAATCTGGGGCTGGGCATGGTGGCACACACCTGTAATCCCAGCACTTGGAAGGCTGAGGCTGGAGGATCATTGCGAGTTAGAGGCCACGCTGGGCTACAAAGTGAGCTCAAGACCAGCCTGAAGTGCATAGCAAGACCCTGTCTCAAAAAAAAAAAAAAAAAAAAAGAGGGAATCTGGTAAGTAGTGTTTATGTACAGGAAAAAATAAACCTCAAAGAAGGAAGCAACTAGTCTTACTCATTTGGGACACAATGAAACCCAGGATTAAGACTGGGAGTCCATGAATCCCAGAGATTCATGGCTCTATCAATCCCAAGAGCCATAAAGAGGGGAAACTCACTTTGTGCTATTCTCTTGTTCCAGTTTCAACTTCTGTCCAGAATTTGCCTGGGTTTTGTTCAGTCTTCAGTACCTTCAGGTGGTTTTTTGTATTTTTTTTTTTTGAAAGTTTATAGCTGTTAACTGTTAGACTGGTTCATAAGAGCTTGCTCTGTCATACACGAAATGAAGCTCTGAAGGTGAGACTTAGAATCGAGAAAATATGGTAGGAGTAGGGCAGTCTTACAAAGGCGAAGAACTAAGCAAATTGTTAACCTTGCACGTGTGAATGACGAAGGGATACTGCTCACCATGTTTTTCTCAGAAGCTTTTAGAGCCACTGTTTTGTAGATCATCATGTATGTAATAGTGATTCCTTCTGTCATTTTGGGAAAGCTGCTATTGGATCACCACTGTTATACTTTCTTCATGAGGATTTGGTGCCTAAAATCCCTGCCATTAGAATTAAATTAAAAGGATTTGGATCTTTTCCTTGTTAGATGACCCACTTCTGAAAAAAGCTTGAGAACTACATTATTAGCCTGGACCCATTGAATACGAGTAATAGGATCCTGGATATATTGCTGTCAAGGTGTACTCCTGTAATCCCAGCTACCCAGGAGGCTAAAGCGGTGGAATTGCAAGTTCAGACTCAGCCTGG